TCTCTAATCATCAAATCATACATGATGAGCCTAAGGGGTGTTGCAAAATAAAACACACTTCTTTCCTCCGAGAGCATAACAAAGTAAAATAAGATTTTAATTCAATCAAAAAAGTAATTCCAAGTATCAATATTGCTTGATTGGGCCATCATTGTTCTCATGCATGAGTTTTAATCGATTGGCAAAAGATTTCAGCAATGCAGCAAACATGTCTATTTTGGTGGTTATCTCTGTGAGCACATCAGTGAGAACACGAATCATGGTTTCATGTTTGTGTCTCTCGCATTCAGGCCAAGTTTCCAACATTTCTTCTGTGCATTGTTGAACGAAAGCTCAGACTTGAATTCTCGGAGCATATCTGTAACTAGTTTTTGAGCCATCCCGAAGGCAGCACATGTGATACGAACCTGAGTTCTAGTGAGCACTATGATTCAAAAGTTTTTGCAAAAAATGAAATTTGAAGAGTCAAACACCCAAGAGTTAGTTCAAATGATGTTTTCTCTTGAGTGATGATATTTGTGGTCCAACCAAGTTCATCATTACTTTGGGGGGAAAAGTGTGATTTATTTTGCAACACCCCTTACAAGGCGGAACTAACTACTTAATGGTTGATGAAAGATTTCTAGAACAACAGCAAACCATAAGTGCAGTTCTTGTCAATGATAATAATAAAGCTGGTATCTTATGCCAAGAAACACTGCCATTACTATATTTCAAATAATACTCCGAGTGTTATACCAACTGAATGATTTTTACAGATGTGTTAGGTATTGAGATTAATATTTTAATATCTTTATTAAGAATTATACACAGACTTTTCTCTACGTTAAAATACTTTTACTTGCAAGCTTTTCTTTAACAACATTAAAATTTCATTTAAATGTGGAACACTGCTTTAAAATAGGTATCAAGGCAACAATCGTAACAATAACTGACACGTGGTGTTACAGCTCAGTACATTGTTGCCTAATGACTGTTTCTGTAAGAGGGCCAAAAGCTCAGAAGTAAAAGTAGTTTAACACAGAGAAAAGTCGTATATAATTCTAAATATTAATTTACCTAAACAACAGTATAATATACTTAGTGAAACTAGTGCTGTAGAATACTCTTTGGCAATAAAGGAAATACACAGTCATTTGGGGAAAAAAAAAGGAAAAACAAACCAAACTATAACCAGAAGATGGAAAGTATTGGCTAGAATACCTTGTATCAACATGAAATCAACTATATCAGAATATCTATAAAAGTCGAGTTTCACACATACAAAACCTGCCTAAAGAGGATGCTGAGAGCAACTCAATAGTTTGGTGGAAAAACAATTTGACAGGGTAGCCACTGTTATCTTCTTTTGCAGAGATTTTCCTTTACAACCCAGCTAATGATGTTGTATCACAGCAGGACGATGTGGAAAGATTGACACACACAAAACTAATCTTTAAATGTTTGTCTTTCTTGACAAAAATCTCTGAGATAAATGACTGATAGACTTGTACAACAAAAAGTATTAGTTGGATAAAAAAAATTGAATTCTAAGAAATCTAAATAAAAGACGATTTCACCAGCATTCAGCTAACATTATCTGATCAGGTGATGTCAACTAACCATAGGAAAACTGTTTTTTTTTAAATTCTCATTAATTTTAAAATGAAATAAAGAATTTATACTGTACGAAGCTTTGTAATAAAATGTTTTCCCGTGATTTAATTAAACATGTTAACATCATACTTCTAGACATTTTTCCATATATTATAACTGAAATTTTTCACAAGGCACAGTTTATCAGTAGTTAACAGTATCTAGCATCCTGATACTAAAGTTGATATTGTTTTCATGGTTCCTAAAGTAGGTATTGTTGTATGATGAGAAGGTTCTAATGTCTTAGAGAATGGTTTACAAATATATGTGACATTTAGGAGCCAGTTATACTTCTCCCCCCAAATTGTTTGACGAAATTTTCAATTTTGTGCAATTTATGTATTTTTTGACAAACAAATACACATTATTGTTTTTGTGCAATTTAATGTTTACAATACTTTGAAGTTGAACTTATAAAGCAATGCAGAATTATGTAAATCCCATGGAAACCTTCAGTGGCAACTGTGTCAAATGTCTCTCAGCAATTGAAAGACCACTTAACCATGTTTATTGTCAGGTGGTCAAACAGAAAATCTAGAAATCTTTGCACAAAAATCACAAATAGAACTTCCTTTACAGTGTTTCAATATTTATTGGTGACTCTAAGATATAGTCATGTACATAATATAAAGTTTATATCTAACATACTTACTGTTGAAATGGTCTACCATTTACTGGCATGGATCATGGTAAGAGTTTTGTTGTCAATCAATGGACCAAACAGTGGGTTCATTTGCATCATGTAAGTGCACAACCAACTAAGAAAAAGAAAAGTCAAACAATGAAAGAATCATTACTTATTCAACTCTTAGAACTGTCACAAAATACGATAACAAAGCTAAAAAATACTGCATATATTAAGTGAACAACACACAACATACATATATAGTAGTTTCACCCATGTTTATAATTCTAATAACAGTCTACAAGTAACAAATATCGGCTCCTCAGTATTGATATGGTCTCTGTACATGTGGGGCTCATTTCTGATCAACATTTAATAGTTCAATTTACAATTATAGTTCCAATAATTAAAGCTGTATCGAATCATGTTTAAACTTTCTTAATAATTGATCTCAAAGCATGTTTCATTAATAAATGAACAAACCACTTAATATAGCATCATAACAAGGTTTCAATCAACTTGTACAAAATCTAAGGGAAAATGAAGAAATGAATAGTATATTCTCAAGGGGTGGTAGGTTCTGCAAAAATAAAAAAGTGGGATGTTTTATTTGCAGGCAAAACTATGCAGCTATGTAAAAAATGGAAATGTATATTTTATTTTCAGGAATTACACTAAATCGAAGTCACAAAATGACAAAATATTAATTCTAAAATACTTTTGAGTCAAAATTGTTGAAATATACTTAAAATTAACGTATAAGATTGACTTTCATACTTGCAAACTGTTGAAAAAATGCAGAGAAAACACTGCTTCCAAACTTCAGGAACAAAAATTTAGAATTAAGTTACTTTTTAAATCCTACTTTTTCTACCTGAAAATGTATTATACACACAATGCAACTGCACTATTTAATATTTAGAAACAATATAAGATTTATCTACTTATTATCAGTCACCCGTTACAACAAAACTGAGTACACTTTTTCATACTTATTATTCCTGACAATTCCGTATAGTTTTACATGTTGACAAACAGATTTACAACAATGTTGGACCTTAAGTGTTGTTTCTGTAACTATGCAGTCACTCTAATGCTTTGTAACCACACAAAGAAAACATATAATCACAAATTTTTATTTATTAGGCCAATGAGTACTTAGTCTATGTAAAAACCTAGTATTTTTTATACTCTTCAAGCAGCCTAAATTTAAAGTAAAACAACATAAAAATTTGAATAATGCAAATTTATTTTTCAAAATAAAACTTTTGATAGTTAAAACATTATCTTATAAAGTTTGAAAATCATTACGGAATGAATAAGAATAAAACTAAAAATTCAGTTCAGATAATATCATATTACTGTGTTCACAAATAACTGTTTATTTAGCTCCTCTGCACTAGCTGCAGCAGTGTTTAACTTTTACTATGATGATATGTGACAGTTAACTTTTTAAAAGTTAGTTGAGTAACACTAACCAAACTTTTGATATTTTTCATATGAAGAAAGAGACTTCCACAATAATATTTTGGATTAAGCAATGTTGACCATATAGTCCTAAATAAGTCAAATAATGTAACATATTCTATAAATGATTAGCTCAGTAAAGTTATAATACAGCAGTTTTAAAGCTTATATCCTTATTTCTATTAATGTGATCAATATGAAAATTAAAACAGAAATAGTTCAAACATTTAACTAAAATTAAATAGTTACAATTATTTGTAACGATATTTAGAAAACATAAATTATAGGATTAGTAAACAGTATGCTTTTTTTATAAATTTTATCTTTTTTTTAAACAGTAATAACCAAAACAAGTAATTTAAATTTCTCATTTATTTTTGTATAATTGCAATTTTTATTAATCGATTGTTGGAATAAATGAAAACAGTATTAATCAGAAACATCAATTTTGATTATTTTTGTGACATTAATAGATTAGTTTATGAAACACTGATCAATTTAATCCCTACCTATAGGTAATTGATTATATTAATTAAAATGCCTAGCTCTCATTCACTCAACATTAGTCTTAGCTTTGCCATTTTCATTGCATATTTATAAAATATAAAACCCTATGCAATAACTACACATAGTGACAATTTTCTATTACTGATTGTACAACCATAACATTTATAATACTGTAAAATAGAGAGCAATGTCATAAAACTCTTCGACACAACAAAAAACAAAATTAGTCAAAAATAGTGATTTGAAATGCTTTGTTTCTTGGTTTTGAGCTTTAGAATAAACAAAGGTTAATAATCTGTTACCTGCTATGATAAAAAAAATCTAGGGACTATACATATATAAAACACAAAAGATAGCAACAAATTGCATTGTTTGAATAATTCTGCAAAATAGTAGAATTAATCACGAAATTACAATGAAAAGAAGAAATCAATATACAGTTGTATAGTTTCTAATAACAGTAATAACACACACATATATATATATATATATTTATATATAGAATAAAAGCTGCATCCTTTCTATATTTATTAACAATGAAACAAGCCAATGAGAGCGCAATTTAACAGATAACTGTTCAGTTGATCATAATCATTACTTAACCTACTCATAAAACTGCCTTAACAATATAGCCCTTCACATTCAAACACCAATTCAACAAAAGATTAAATTAACTTTGACTTACAGCTCTTAATTCATCTGTTTTATTTATGCTTAAAAAGCTGTTTAAGAGAAGCTTAACATAACTTTTAAGAATAAAGCTCTCTACCCTGAAAATATCTAACTTTAACCTAAAGCCTACAGTGTGTACATTTGAGTAATAGAGTTCTCAATTGCTTCAATAATAAGTTTTTGATAAAAATCTCTTGACACCCAAATAGTGGAATATCACAAATTTGACCCACAATTCTAAAAGTAAAATCTAGGAAAGATCCTTAAAAACTACATGCATATTAGTTTGAATTTTGCTTCAGGAAGATGTCGAAAGCTGTTGTCAAAAGCAGCTTAAAAAAGCAAATGGAGAGTTGACATTTAAAAACTCCCAGCTGGTTTTAGAAATGGGCAATTTTGTCTCAACTTATATGATTCCTGTATTTATGTATTAGGGATCACAACTGTTGCTGTATACCTTGAAATGAAAAAAAAAATTATAAGTTGTCTCATAAGGGATAAATTCTAAAGCTGGATGTATATGGAATGGTTTAGTAGTGGAATGATGGTAACCAATCACTAGTTCAACTGGAAAAATGTGAATAGAGGGGTCTCTTGGTAACCTATTTTAGGTCCATTATTGCTCAATATTTTAAAAAAATTCCTGGATTTTATACAAAAAAATTTTAAGTAGTGCTTAAAAATTTGAAAAATAGTGCTAATAAAATACCAAGCAGTCCATAAAAGAAAATTCAACATTTAAAATATTGTGATGCTGTCTAGCCTTCACTTAATTTACTCCACATAGAGCTGTTTGATGAATTTTTAAGTTAAAAAAATATTTGGAAAATGTATTAACAAAGATCCATAAAAATCATATCCCAAAATTCAAAAATAACTAATTGCACACCAGCTTGAAGTATAGTCATAATTTTAAGGATGAATTTTTTAAACTGAAGAAATGTATTTGTAAGATGTATTAACAAATATCCATAAAACCTGTATCCCAAAATTCTCAAATAGTTAACTGCAAACAAGTTTTTTTAAATCTAACATTAAAATGTATGACTCCTAAATATTTTTCCCCATCATCACCAAGTCTAACCCTCAGCCACAAACCAGAAAAAAAAAGATCAGATAGCTTTTTCTGTTAGTGATTCTCTTGAGCCATAGAACTAGAAATTAATCTAATTTACTAAGCATAGAATACACATAAATGCTATTACCTTTTGAAGATAAAACAGAGGGAAAATTTAATAATGTCTCCTATTACATGTACCTTGAAGAACCTAGAAAGCACCATGGAGGGGGGGGGGATAGTGGATTTCAACTGGCTAGTTTTTAAAAATATATTGTTTATGATAAAACAATCTAAAATTAACAAACTGCACCAAACAATATGGGTTTGTGCTACAGTAGTATTTCAGCTCACAACTTTGATAATGAAAAATAAAATTTCTAATTTGCTGATTACAAAGAAAAAGAACAAACACATTGTCTTAAGAATATATCTGTGAGGTAAGCAAGTGAAAAACCACATAGCTCTAAAAGCAACAAACCTAGAAACCTGAAATCTTGCACCTATACTAAGTGGATCCAGAGTGTGTGCACTTAGGTATTATTACTTATCCATGCATGGACACATCATTTTGAGGCAAGCTAGCAAAAAACCACACAAGAAAAAGTATGTGACCACCATAGCACCAAGATCAAAGAACCTAGAAACCTGCATCTTGTAAAGGAGCAACACAAGTATACAAGATATACTTTTATGCTAAAATGGGTTCAGAATACACACACTGACATAGTCTTCTAGAATAAATCAACCTAATAACCTGAGCGAAGTTGGGTACCATAGCTACAAAAGGAAAGAACACAGAAACATGAAATTTTGCACCCATACTAAGTGGACCCTGAGGGTGTACACTGGGTGTTATTACTTATCCATGTACGTGTACACATGCACATCTTTTTAATGAGGCAAGCTAGCAAAAAAACCACATAGAAAGGAAGTGATTCCTTATATTACAAACTGTTCTAAGTTCCTGGCTTTGCTAGAGTTATTACAATATATCAACCTAATAACCAGAGCAAAGCCAGATACTTTTGCTAGTAACATGTATAAATACGATTATAAAAGTAGGTTGCTACAGACCTAGTGTAAACAGTTCAAAATTATAGATTGTACCACACTGACAAATAAGCTGTGACAGGACTCCATAACCAGAGTGACGAAAACCTGTGCTTTGGCCACTGATGGTGAAAAAATCAAACATGTTATTGGTTTGGAGAGTTTGGAATTTTAAAACAAGGCTATTGTGCTTTTTCAAAGATTCAGGTTTCTCATGAGGTATTATTCAAATAATGTGTGCAGTTTTGGTACTCTTGCTTTCAAGAAAACTAGCCTGCTGGTTTATCAGTTCTTCTGAAAAATGAATAGGTTGTTAAATAATTCCTTACCCTAATTCTGATGTGTTGTGATATAAATAAAATTGATGGAAAATTACACTTTATCATCTTATTTCAGCTCATATTAGTTCTTTTCAAGCAATTTTCTAATACAATGGTGTCTCAGTCATTACTACGTCTGCCACGTTCTAGCTGGCTCAGAGAGTCCTGGTGTTGGTGGAATGATCTTGTTAGTACTGGATACATGGGATATAGTGTGGTCGAAATCTTTATTTTCACCCAGGCGTTCTTATTAATAAAAAGCATAATATAATAAGGGGCAAAGTTGATATACTGTTTAAAAAACTACCCAAGGTGTCCGTTTGAATAGTGGAATGACAAATTTGACCATTACAATGATAGATATAAGCTTTAGAAGCCCAAATGCAGACTTGCTCTTCAAAAACATTTATTTTGATTAAGTTTTCAACATGAGGAAGTGATTAATTTATTGAAGAAGTAATTTGTATTGGCAGTTATTTTGAACTTATTTTAAAATTTTGTTGGGTAAGATTATTAATAACAATGTTTTGGGACAACATGGGACCTATTGTTCCATCTTGGCTATTCCATCCTCTAAACTAAATTAAAATAAACAAGTTTAAAAAAATCTTAAAGCCAGCCTTATTATACATATACTTATGTTTTTTTCTTAAACTCCCTTAAATTTACTGCCACCACAACATCCAAAGGCCAACCACCTTGTTAGAAAGATAAAACTGTCTTACCTGAAAATGGATTCTACACTGCCAAATTTATATTTGTGTCCCCTAATCCTACTATTCTCACTGTTAAATATGAAACA